AGCCATTAGTGCTGTTTGGCATTGACTTGCAGAAAGCTGAATTTCTGAATGAGGGGAAAAAAAAAATAATTTAAATGGAGAATTGCCTTTTCTTTCTAATAGCTCTCCGATTTCCCTTCATTACATGTCACGAGTTCAGCTTCAATGAACAATATCATGACAACACAGACCCCCGTTTAAAAACATTTTTTTCTATTGCTACAGTTGTGCACATTCCCCAACACACATCTCAGAACTGTGTGTGCTGAAAGATAGAAAACAACAAGGCTGCAAGAGTTTTATTGCTTTGCTACACAGGTGTTAATTGTATTTTAATGACTGATCATACTCGATTATTATACCGGCAGATGTTGGTTCTGATAAGGGGAACACTACTCAATGGGATTCTGGAGAAGACTAAAATCACGGCTGCTCTGCTCTTCTCAATTCTCACATATTTAATACATCCACTGCAACAGATTTTGGGAAAAGTGACTAACATAAATCCTAGTATTTCAGGTTGTGAGGATGCAGCAAATCCAGTGTCTTCAGCCATGCAGCACGGGGAGAGAGCACGGTTTCATATTTGAAAAAGAAGAAAGAGATTCAAGCAAACTTAGAATTATAGAAGCCTTAAATAGCATTATTTTTAATTACTCTATATTTTATGATCAGCAGAACTGTAATGTAAAACAAACTCAAGTCAGACCCATGTCAAACTGGCATGCTCACAAAGCATGCAGCAAAGGTGTGGGGGTGTCTTATAGGGACCAAATGTGAGAAAATGTCCACACAAAAGAGTAACTTCTGACAAACAGATCACATAGGGCTATCTACAGAATGAAAACATTCCTTTCTTAACTAAAAGTCATGATGTTTTTAATCTTGAAAGTGTGTAAACTGTTTTGGGTCTACTTCCAGCTTGCTTCAAGTTTCATTTTGGCAGGAGTAGAGGACAGTGAATAAAAAAAATTGACCACGCGTCAATGTGGATTCCCCAGAAAAATGGATTGCTGCTTTATTAATCTCAGTTTTCAGTTCTCACAGGTATGTAATCACACATACAATCATGTGCTTGTTTCTCCACCTCTTATGAATATGAATCAGTTATACTAAATTCACAGGCGCTTTATGTTTCTTTTCCGATTGATGTACCGAGAGTAACATGCTCCAGTGACGTTAGGAAGCATTTTTACCTTGCAGAAATTGTTTAACAGTTACCTAGCAACTTGAAAGGGGTTTCCATGCTGCGCAGGGTAAGAAGAGATGAAGTAGCAGACTTGCTGCAAAAAAGTTTGTAAGACTAAAATTAGCTAACTTGCTGGACATATTTCAACCTTTTCTTTTCCCTCACAGGGTGAAAAAAATGAAAGCAAGAGAACACAGTATCCTTTGATGTGGCTTTCAGGCTCTCCAGAGACACAAATCCCATGCATTATCAAGCATAGCAGCCTAATGCAAAAGGAGTTCCAGTGTTAATATTCTCGAATAACTTTAAAGCCTGACAAATGATCTTAGAAAAGCAATAAAACGCACCAAACATTTCCTGCAATAATACCAAATACCAAAATAAAAATACCAAAATGAGCCAAATTAAAAAAAAACCTTTCATATTTCAAAATTAATTTTGCACATGTACAGTATTTGCCTTTAGCACTAAATGAAATCAATCTTATGATGTGCAAGAAGTTTTGTCAGATTTTAACAGTGTTCATGTCACAAGGAGATATTCTTTGACACCCAAGGGCTTTCTGCCAAATCTGCCAAAGATTACATGTTCTATAAACAATCCTGACTTCTTATTGCAGTTTATTAGCTGGCATTATTATAGTCCTTATTCAACAGAGGCTGCCTGCCTCTACCAAAACAAGAGAGATAATTTGCTGCAGTAAGGTTGCTGTGTTTGAATGTGAATTAATTGTATTCACTGTGATCCGGTTAGTTAAAATCAACAATTCATCTGAAATACGGCATGTTAAAATGGTTACAGCCACATTCCAGTCGTGCAAAGAGTTCATACCACCAAAGAGGAGAAATGGTTCTTTGCTTTAAACCTCACTGGAGATTTGCCTGGAGGTCATTTCTTTTTCATATTTACAATCTCCAGTATCATTTGAAAATTAAACATGTCATATAAGAAAAACATTCATTATATGAAATCACAGAAAAGCGGTCAGCAAAAACATTCACCATTGATTTTTGTAGTGCATAGACTGTTAAAATCTGGAGTACCGAGTTGCAAATGTTGTGAAGCTTTAGATTTTCTTGTCAAAAACATTTTAGACCTCAAAATACAAGGAAACACTATCATATTAGGTATAATTACATAGTGAAATGGGAATCTAGATTGTGTAGAATTAAACCAAGTATTCCACAGAACACGAAGCATCCATATTTTCCTTGAGCTGAACAGAATGTGGTCTCCACGAATGTATGTAATTTAGAATCATTTCGATACCAGCACAGTATGTGGCTTCCGTTTAATGATAATATGGTGTGGTAACCATCACTGGTTATTTGACATTTTCATGAAGAACCATGCTACTGCATAAACTTGAAAAAAAAATTGTTTCATAAGGAGATCGAATGATAGCTTAAATTTTTTTGAGCTATTTAGCTTAACTATGAATATAAAAAAAGTAATTACCTACAGGTTTCATAACTGAAAAGGAAGAACCCAATTTTTTTTAGATTTTTGAAAAACATGCAGCTGCACATATCTGGTATGAATATACTCAGACTGTTAATATAAACCTCACAATGAAAGCACACATCTGCATTGTCCAACAGGGTTATCTGCTACAGTAAATGTAATTGTTTCTGGATTTATCAAGCCAGTTCTGGACACGCAGGGCTTTGGAGCTGCACAAAAACAGTGCAGCACACTGCAGCGTGGGGAGAGAGGGGGAGCAGGCAAGGGGAACTGTTCTGTCTCACGCCTGTGACACGCCTTAAGACTGTCAGGGGAGACGTGAGAGCTTCCCTACTTTCAACAAAGCATTCTTGAACCCAGAATGTTGTTCTGATGAATGCTGGTTATACAGCAGTTCAACAAAGCAAAGAAATGTAGTATCTGGACAATACCATCTCCTTTTCACACTGTACCAAACCTATGTATCACGCACCACTTCTGAGGAGGCTAACCTGACTTTGATTCCACTTACCCAATAAACAGAGTACACTTGGTTATAGACGGAAGCATCCTACTGTCACTTTGATAATAATTGTAATGCTTGATTGACCCTGGGAAGCTATAGGAACTGACAGTTGTGCACGTGTATGCGTCCATCTGGTACTCACATCTGAGAACTACGAGAATTTACTAGAATTGCCTAGCAAACTAGTCATGCTTAAGTCTGGAAAACATTTGGCAAATAACACTTAATTTACACAAGTGCAGAATGCTGGCTTCATTCAAGAAAAGACGATATGAGATCACTGGATCAATTAGCTACTAGCAAATAACCTAGTTGTGCCAAATTACCTCTCTTTTGTAACCTTATAATTTAATGTGCTGTTAACGGGCTTAGATACATAATAGAAACATAATTCATTAAAATACTATTATGTTTGTTCACTACTGTTATATCTATGTTCAAATTTCTTTAGTAGGTTTCAAAGCATCAATACAGAAGATTGTAAATTAAAAGGATACAGTACACTTGTCAAGTGCACCCAGTGATTTAAGAAGGGAAATGTCCACAGATCATTTCCCTTACACTCAAAGGACAGAGAGCACACTCCTGTCATTTCTGAATATACCAAGAACACTTTCCGTTCACACTGATCATTCGCAACAGCACCGAGAACAGTTATTTTCTTATTTACTGTGACTGTATGATACTGAATGCAGGATAGGAAAAAACCTGCCACACCACTCCCACGTCCTATCAGGTATACAAGATTGGATCCACTAAAAATAAAACCAGGGCATCACTGGGTCCATCATTAAAGAAAAGGCCCAACATAATGAAATAATGAGGGAAGAAATAAAATGAGAAAAACGTTAAAAAGAATAAGGAAGTTAACACATATGGCCTCCTAATAATCCCCCTCTATGAATTGGCTACATTACTCTGCTCTCCTCCCCACTGATAGCTGATGTGTGGTGAGCGTTCTGGCGCACTATGGCTGCCGTCGTATCATCCAGGTGGGGCTGCACATTGGTGGTGGTGGAGGGGAGTCCCCATTACCTGTAAAGCGCTTTGAGTGGAGTGTCCAGAAAAGCACTATATAAGTGTAAGCAATGATTATTATTATTACATATGGAGGAGTACTACATTTTTGTAATGCATTTCAACAACCAAGTATTGCTAATAGCAGGGTATAAAAATTTGGATATGCAGGATAACAAGGGGCTATGTACAAAAAGGTGTTGGCTTACTACATAACCGTTTTCAGCAGGAGTACATTTTCTCTCCAGCTGAAGCAAATAGGAGTGAAATGCACCCTGTTACGTAAGCATCTGCCCTGAGTGCATCTTGAGAACGGCCTCCACTGAGGTGTTTTCCCTGTGGTGTGATTTTTCCTGTCCTCTGCCATCAGGAAACTGAGTAGCAGCCCAGTGTGGAGGCGCCACAGAAGAAAAACTAGCATTTCCCTTGTGTGCTGGGAAGAGTGGAAGGGGTGGGGGGGAAGAAAAACAAATGTGTAAGATTCTCACAACCCTGTAGTGACCTCTGTGGAGCATCTCTCCAGAGGTCCCTGGGGACTTGAGGCTCCCAGACAGAAAAACGACGCTCGGCACAATCATGGCTTGTTTATTTTCCGAAGCTGAGGAAAACCCCGAAGCTCCCTACACAAACCTCTGAGAAACATTCTTCTCGAAAGGGCGTTTCTGGTTGCTAGACCACTATGACTGAATTCTCATTATGAGATATGTACTATTGCCTGTGTATTTTCATTTCTCCTTCCCTCACTTTGAGCATATCTACTAGTTGTTACCTCCATACAAGGCAGATCTGAGTCAGTACAATTCAGGGAAGAGCTTAAAAAAAAATCAGGTGTTAGAAAATACTTACCAGAGCAGATTTGCCAACACCTCCTGAACCAAGGACTACTAACTTGTATTCACGCATCATGCAGCACTTCAGTTATCAACGTCAACACAGCTGGAAAAAAAGAAAAAAATGGGAATATTAACAGGTAACCAATAATTGAACAAGCTGACACTTCACAAACACCCAACAGTCTTGTCACTTAGATGACAATGTCTTTCTGGGGCCCTGGGTGCAATTCCTGGGGTGCTCTCTGTGTGGAGTTTGTGTGTTCCTCCTTCGTTTGCGCAGTTTCCTCTGGGTGCTCCAGTGTCCTCTCTCAGTGCAAAGACATTCTGGTAGGTTCACTGGCTTCTGGGAAAACTGGCCATGGTGCAAGCGAGTGTGTGCATGTCTCTGATGGACTGGCGTGCCCCGTCCAGGGCGTGCTCTGCCTTGAACCCCTTGCTTGCCAGGATAGGGATCCCCTGTGACCCCGAATTGGACAAAGTGGTTTGAAAATGGATGAATGGACCTGCCATACAGAAACTAAAACCAGCTTCATGATCAATTCCAGCTCCAAGCTAGTGAGACACTGGAATTAAAGACTGTGGAAAACAGACATGCACATCAATAAATGTAACTAATTAATATTCGTTAAATGGAACTCTTAAAATGCTCTGATATGACTAATTTAAATCATACACCTTGCAAATGTAATTAATTTCTTGCACAGATACCACACGCTTTAGTAATAAGCTACTTATTATTTCACTCAATGCAATAAAATTTCTTCCAGCTGAAACCAACTTGTTTATTTTTTTTTACGAATAAAATGGGAGACACGAGAATAGAAGCTAGAGAAGTGTTATACAGCTCGGCCAGGCTACTGAAGCATGGAAACAATCAGAAAATCTTTGATCAAAATGCACTGAAGCCGTATGATCTGCCGGCTTCTGGAAGATAATGACAGTCAGATGTCCAACACCTCCACAGCTGCATTTCTTTTCAGATGGGTGTTGGTCTGTGTTTCACTGTTCCCCTCAGTAACTTCCTCTTTGCAAGTGCTTATTCTTTCAACTCTACAAAGATACTTATTGGTATTTAAACTTCCTACTAAATTTACCTAAACAAAAAGCATCAAGGTACCATTCCAAAAGAACTGAATTGAAAACCAGTGATGCCACCAGCCTTCAGTTGTAGAATTTAACATCCTCGCCCAGCTGGAATACTTGACACCCTAAACTGGTCACCAATGTGCATTTTGAGGAAGACAAACATTCCCAGAGCCCTGTTTCTTCATTCAATGGTGTAAAAGCACCTGAGCCTTAGAAATGGGCAAAGCATTCATGTATAAATGTTTGACTCTTGATAGTGACATTTTTCATACTGTTTTTACCACAGACAGAAAAAGAACTAGAAAGTACTGCATCAGTACTCCAAAGAGTTGACAAAATCTGTGGGGTAACAACTCCACATAATACGCATTTTTCCTAATGGAACAATTCAATAAACCATCACCGCAAGAGAGGTTTCAGTACAAAAGACTCAACGTATTGGGACAGACCACACCAAGGCTGATCTCATACCTTACACGTAGCACACACCCCTCCATACTGCCCACACAGCCCTGACACAGCCTGAACTCCAAAGCAACCCTCACTTCCTCTTTCATCCTGCTCATGATCATTAGGCTGACATCCAGATGAGTGGGGGTGGGATATGATAACAGAAATTAAGAATCTATTTTCTGCACCCCCCCCCAATAAAGGGAAACCAACAAGTGGGTGGAAGGCCGCCGGGGGGGGGAGAATAAAAAGATCAAATGGATTTACAATAAAAAGGAAAAAGACTACATTTACATTCAGAAGGCCACCTCCTACATGGCAGCACCTTCTAAGCTGCGGCACAAAGTTAAAACCAGGAGAAGCTCAGAGAGCAAGCCATTCAGATCCATCCTGTGAAGATGCAGTGCCGAACACTAAGACCCTGTATTAAACATTACACTGCTGCATCTACGAGACTTCAAGCATCAGTCCCAGAGGAGCTCAGGGAAAGCTCTGGGAACAAGACAGCGCATCCAGAGCACAGTCAGCACAGCACTCCTCACCCCACCCCAGATCTCGCACTCTGCAGTGCGCGAAAAGATCACCACCACTCTTCCGCAATCCAAAAGCATACAGCTACTGAAAGAGCTCAGTTTTAGCTACAATTAAGTGACTGAGCTTTCTGCGTGTATAAATTAGGGACAGTAACCATACAGTCTGCGACCAGGTTTTTAGCTCCTGCACAGGAATTGTGTTCATTCTGCTTAATAGTGCTGAATACCTTTGAACCCCTTTCAGCTCATGAAACAGGTGTCACTCTAACAGGATATGGCGGGGTTTTCTCACAGAACGCAGATAATAGCAATTGGGGATTGCACCGATATGGACAAAACGTTTCAAGTCTTATAAATTAACAAAATTAAAAGATACAGGGTGGTATAAAGGAGGAACCTAAAGTAAGAAAAAATATTATTAGTAGCTCAATTGCAGGTTAAACACAGACTCATGACTGTCGAGGAAAGAGGCACCTTAAAACTGTCATTTACTGCAAGTGGTTTAAGTACATCTCAGGCAAGAGAGAAATAAAAAGTAATTGATTATTCACAAGGGAAAAAATATTTAAGTAATCATAATGACCACAATTCATTAAAAGGCGTGGTAGGAACAGGTGTTCCATCATACAAGACTTTTCCGAACAGTGCAGGTTCATGATGCTGCCTGTCCTACGAGAGTCCAATACAGAATCCCAGTCATTTTGACACAACACATGCAATCCAGTTCTTAATGCCACAGCATTCTACAGAGCTAGAAACTGTGGTGAAACTACCATTATTTTTTCTGCCCCTCCCACCCAGTTGCTAGGAAGCACCAGCAGCAGCGGTGTGCAGGTGTGTGATTCTGTGCATTTTACTGTGCCAGGAGTCTGCTTTAAAACAAAAAAAAAAACACAAGGTGAAACATGATCTCCCCTTAGAGCCCATTTCTGCCATCTCCCAGTGCACCCCTGCGCGGGAGATCTTAACAAGGCTCAGCACTACGTCCACAACGGGGAAAAAAAAGAAAACCCTCCTCAACAGCACAGAAAGCAGAACTGAACAACCAAACAGTATGAACACACAAGAACTGAGACTTCAATTGCAATAAAAACAGAAGTACTCCTAACACAAAGACAACACACAGGGGTAAAAGGCTGATACAAGTCAAAGGGAAAGCACGCTGAAAATATTTAGCTTATGATGCCGCCGCTTAACAAAAGTACAAAAAAAACTACAACGTATGCACATATTCTAAAATAACACTGGCTTAAAACAACCAACCAACCAGCCGGCCACGCCTTGAGCTGCTGCATTTCTAACATCTTGGCTTTTCTAAAACCGTTCATCAGGAAGTGGCCCACTGAGCTGTGACACTGAGGTGTCTCGGGAGAGACAGGGCAGACTCGAGGTAAGGTGTAATCTTTCCACTTCAGTGAAATTAGCAATCTCCCTTGAGCAGGGGCGGTGGGCTCAGAAATGCCACTCTGGTATCGTGTTTTGCAGTCAAGAGCAGTTGATAGTGATGCAAGAACCCTGCTGGCCAGTTGTCATTTTCAGTACCCTGGGAAGGCTACTGCAGATCTGCTAAATATGTCTTCTCAAATAATTAGGGCAAATGATTGCACCATTGTTCGGCCTGAATCCACTGGTCTAATTGTTAAGAAGTAATTGGGAAATCGCTGCTCAAAACAGTTGCACCCACACTGGAGTTACATACTCTTAAAGAAATAAAACACTACTAAGTAGGTCAACTATGTGACATCAGTGATTTACCTTTAGGGTGTGTTACAGACAAAAAAAAACACAAACGTTTTAAAATTGATATAAACATGCACCTCATTCCAGTCTCGCAGCAAAAAAACTATTTTGATCAGTTAGCCCATAGCTTATTTTAAACTCCATTATAAAGAATCTTGGCGTTTTAGATAGTATAAATGTTTCAGAAGTATACTGAAGCAACCTGTAAAGCCCCATACTGTTGGGACGGTTCATAACTAACTTTTGAAACTCACAGTCGACTCGTGTTTCTCACCGAGAGGGTGAAAAATAGCAGTCGCATGAATTAAAATTTCACTCTTTGGGACCATGTGTACAACTCTGCAAAATAAGAAAAATAAACAGAGTGATCGGGAAATCACTCAATTTATGAGGCATTTAACAGTCTAGTTGCACAATACCGATTAGCAAGTTCCATTAACAAAACACAGATTAGCCCTTTCAGAAAAACCTAAAAACAGCTCTCAAAAGTATCAACTTCACTAACTTGCCAAAGGAAACTGTTTATAATACAGGTTGGCTTTGGTACACTGCAGAACACTTACGAAATGATTGCTCACCAGAGTCAGTTTCTTACATTTCAGAGGCCTAACATTAACACCTTAAGTGCTGCTTCAACCGAAGCAGGCAGGGAGCACCAAACACTGCAGCCTAGATGCACTGAGCTCTTCTACTGGTGAACTGCATATGAATTTTAGCACCTAGTTCTGTGCTTAATTCCAACAGTTCACCCTTATCTTTCCATTTAACGTCTGCTCTGCTTAAACAATCAACAACAGTGCCCAGGTACAGCTTCTGAATACGGAACGTTTTTTTCACTATCAACACTGCACTGGTACAGACGAAGTGAAACGGATTACTACCAGCTCACTGTCACTGTAACACTTGCAGTTTATTAAAAGAACAGAAGAAAGTGACCACATGTAGAAATACATCCATAGCGGAAGTTCAAACGGCTTCTGTGTACTTGAGCTGCAAGTAATCTCGGTACCCTACACAATTCTAGAGGCAAACAACACAATAACATGCAAAACCCTCTGAACGTCAAGGTGCGTTTACAGCAGCTGCTGTTCCCCGAGCCCTCCCCTTCTTCATCCTGCTCCTCTCCGCTACAGTGAAGAGACCGGGCCTGGTGGAGAAACCAGCCTAAGAGATTTCTAAATGCAGAGGCTGTTGAGCTCTGGCAGGTTTTTGCTTTTATTACTAAGCTTACCAGCACAAAATAACTTGTGCACATAAATGCTTGGAAGCCTTCCCTTGCCACAAAGAAATGCAT